CCCCACACAGTGGCCATGAAGTTGTGGCTGAAGCCGTTCCAAGGTATTAATGGGAGCCGCGGTGAGCATCTGGACGGTGTAAAGCAGCCCCATCCTCTGCTGTTTACCGATGGATCCCGTGTGGTGACAGGCCAGGCACCCGTGGACCAAAATAACCAGCTGAAATCTGTCCCCCGCTCAGCATCTTCCACACCTCAGCCGAGAACCCGTCAATCAGCGCATCAGCGCCCCCCCCCCTGCCCCCGTCACCACAAAATAAAACCTAAAAAATACCCAAAAATAAAAAAACGAGAAACCAAAGTCCACACCAAATCGCGCCTGGGGATCTTCGCCGTGGTTCCGCTCCATTCCCTTTCCCATGCCCGCTCTTCCTGGGGGGGTTAGGGCACACGCTGACCTGCGCGCTCTCCCCACCCCTCCCTGCTGAAATACGTGACGTTCCGGCCTGGGAAATGTACCGTTTCGGTCGATTGGGAAAGTGAAGCTTATTCAAAAACTGCCAAAATTGCATAATGATAATTAAAAAAAAACTAAAAGCCCGTTCCCCCGGAGAGAAACCCTTTTAGAGCGTTTCTTCTACCTGACCTGGCTCTCGAACTGCGTGGTCGCTCCAGCGGAACAAGGATTAAAGTCTCTGGATCTACTGCCAGCCTCGGAACGTCAGGAGAGGAGCTTGTTTATTTGAAACAAGCCTTATCCTCTTTGGCGTAAAATGGCGCGGGGTGGTGTGGGACCCCGGCCTCTGCAGGCATGGGTCCCAGGACAGATCCATCCCAACTGGGACGCCGTCGAACATACCCTCTCCAGCGCTGACCTCCTGCCGCCAAGGACGCCAGTACATTTCAGGATATTTTTAGGCCTCCTTGTCTCTGGAAAGTTGAGGGGAATAAGAAACAAAAGGTGCGTTTCCAGCGTCGTGGAAACCGGAGAGAGGAATCCCCAGCGGATGGAGGCTGGCGCTCGGAATGGAGAGTCGAGCGAAAAACAGCTTTTGAATTTCCTTCTCACCGGCGCGTGCGAGCGAGGGAGAGAGCGACAGGACTTGGAAGACGGAGTATTTTCTGAAATAACACTGAGCATCAGGGGCCGAGTTGGGGGGTGGGGATGTGGGAGAGCAGGGCTCTGTCAACCCGATAGCTCCTGCTCATTCACAGGCCTCTGGAGATGTAGAAGCACTTCAGGAGAAACCTGGCCTCTTCCAACGGCGCGCTCCCCGAGCCAGGGGGGGTCACGCTGTCCTGGCTTTCTGTTCGGGACATGAGCACCGCTGTTGTCGCTCTAGGTGTCGGCATGACCTCGTGGGGAGTTTGGTCGTCGGTCTCACGGCCTCGGCTGTCCTTCAAAAAGAGCACTGGGTAAAGGCAGAGGATGGAGCTGCGTCTGCCCCCCCGGAAAGAGACGAGGGAGGAGGCGGCCAATCGGACGGGAGCTGCGGGTTCCGGTCACGGATCGCCGTGATCCGCAGGTCTTCGGTGAATTACGTTTGTACAGAAAATGTGACATGGAAGCCTTCTCTCGATTTGAGTTGGGACGGGTAAAGAAGGCGGGCAAAGGAGGTTCAAAAATAAAGGGAGGTGGGACCAACATGCACTTTAAAGCTGGTAAAATGCCATCTGCATTGGGGAGGGGGAGATACTTTTGTGGGCACTTACCAAAGGCTTCTGGAAATTATAAGGAAAAAGGGGAAAAACAAAACGATTCATTTTAGGGGAGGAGTGAGACGGCGGTCATTCCCCTCTCGACAGTCCGCTGGGTTTCCCGATTATGGACACAAGTGTATCTGCTCATTCATTCAAACACTTTAAATTCAAAAATGCCTATTAGAAGGTGATGATTCAACCCAGTAGACAGCCTTCAGATTTTAGTGAGAACATTAGATACTTATTATCATACAAGTATCTTTCAGGGTGTTTTTTTAGTTTTCTGATTTGAGAGATGCTCTAGCAAAATAAAACCTACCGTCTAATTTATATTTATGGTTAGATGCCAGAAGGTCAAAATCAATCGCATGAACTATGAAACAGAGGAAACACATTCAAATTACAAAACCAATAAACTTCATAGACCTGAATGAAATATTATTACTGGCAATGTATAATCTTAATGGAAAACTATAAATGCCTCAACAGATTTCGCATAGTCGCTATTTGACTTTGACCTTTGGCAAAAAAATTAGCCGTGCATCTGGTTGAAATTAGTAATCAACTGCAGTTCTTCAAAAGAGGAGAAAAAGACACATTAACAGAAGCAGGACAATACACAAGACAGAAGGACCCAACCGGGATTGCTGGACACAGAGAGACAGAAAAACAGTAAGGTACAGCCAAATACATAATGGGGGGGGGGGGGGGTTGGTCCGGACTCACATACTCCATCTGCTGAAAGGGCTGAGTTATCTAAACCACAAAAAACACATCGCCATCATCCCAGAATACACTGAGTTGTTTAAACAAGCTTCCATTCCTGCAGACCCTTCCAGGGCGTGCGGGCCTGCTATGATGTCAGAGCGTGCTACGTCTATCCTGCTTCCAACATTCACGGTGCTGCTGGGGGGCTGACGTTGCTCAATCAGGCCCCAGCGACCAAACGTCCTGAGTCCTACTGATAGCAGCTTATGGCGCAGGTAAGGGTACTGGGTCTAGAGCAGAACCGGGCTGGAAACTAGCTTGTGGAGGCGGCTGTAGACGTTAGCGCAGGTGTAAACTCTGAACTTCCTCAGCCCAGAGGTCTTGAGGTGTCTGACCGAACTCTAATAAAGATGCCGTTGGCGGTTCCACATTAACGCAACGTTGCAGAACTGGCCAGGATTGGGAGTAAGCTCCGTGTTCCCTACGAAGAACCCGCCTGCTGTGCTGCTCAACTTGGGCTAAAAGGAACCCCTTCTCCTTTCCAAACAGGAAGCTTTTACTTTTCGCTCTTTATTTGCTCCCAGCATGTTTATCTCTTGCGGTGTTACCATCAGATTTCCAAGAGTACGGCACACAGGCCTCTTTTACTCTGTGCTCTTTCTGCCTTTGTTATGTCAACCAAGGAGAACAGAAAGCGGGACGGATAGCGCCGGAGTCGACAGCGGCAGCATCGTGTGGAATACATGCTATCAGTTTTCCATGTCTCGTCATGTATTTAGCTATCAAACAGGGGTGACCTGTGGCCAACCGAAATTCAACAAGGAGTTTTACTAGCCATAGGGCATCGACGCTAACCCTGAACTGCGAGGTATATAATCCGGCTGCTTGAGAAAGCGCTTTGTTGGGGATATTGATTGGCTGAGCACCTGCCAGTCAGGAGAGCCTGAATCTGAGTGGAATACCGGCATTTACCGGGGATTTATCGCTCGTCCCGTTTTGATCAAAGTGAACGAGGGCTGAAATTGGACTTCCCAAAACGCCTACCCACCCGCTCCAGCGGATTAGGGGGTACCGTCGACGCGGCGCACCGCGCGCGTACACGAGAGCCTGGGTGTCACGCTCGGGAGGGCAGGGCTTACCTGATCGCAGCTGTTTGATTCGCCCGTTACTTGAGCCGGGGTCGACTGGCAGGAAGTCCTTGAACCAGGTGATCTCGGGGTCGGGGTTGCCGCTGGCGGCGCACAGCATGGTGGCCGTGCGCGTGCGCTCCACCACCTTCAGCTGGGGGCCCATGTCGATGTTGGGGAAGCCGGGCGGCAGCAGGTCCTCTGCGGGGACAAAAGCGCCACTCTGAGACTTGGAGGTGTAACTGCGACAATCGCTCATCAACGTGTTGCTCCCCTGTGGCAGACAAACAGGTGCCGTCTATCAGGTGTCATCTACGACTTCCACATTTCTCAACCCGGTCCTTGGGGACCTCCAGACAATCCGGGTTTTTGCTCCCTCCCTGCCCCCACACACCTGCGCCGGGTTATTCCTTCTTGATTGACCAGGAGCTGAGAGAGATGGAAAATGTGCACTGTCTGAGGGGCCCTGAGGACTGGGTTGAGAGACACTGTATTACATGTAAGTTGCAAAATTCCTCTTCCACTACAAAGACATTTCTCACCCAGCTTGGTGTTTTCTGCTGCCTTTTCACCCACTTCACCACCAATGCTCAACACATTTCCCGAAACCGCACCTTGAAACCCAACATGGCAGCAAGTCCACCTGTTTGAGAAGGACTTCCCCGATGAGAACCTCACCCCCGGACAGGAACGCTGGAGATCTGACCCCGCCTAAGAGCTCTAATGCTTTGGCCGCTGCTGTTGTTGTTATTTTTTTTCCCCGGCATTGGTAATGGAGCTTATTATGTCCATTACGCTCACTGACATCACTCCTGGTGGTGGTTCACCAGGGTGTGATTCATCCCAGACCCGCAGTACCGATTCTCTCGTCGGGCCAAATTGCTCTCGGCAGAAATCCGCACCATCCAGTTAGAGGTTCAGATTTAATAGTAAAAATGACTCCGGGTGCCAGTCCTGTAACACCACATCTGTTAGGGCTGTCCACTGCTCCACGCGGCCATTTAATCATCGTTCTCCTAGTGCTGGCCTGTTTGCTGCTTTATGGCCTCTGAGCTTAAGGTTTCCAAACCTGAATTATCTAGTTCTAACACAAGCCTCCATAATTCTGCAAAAAAAGGAGAAAAAAAAAACTCATTGCGAACTCTCTGTAACCACCGTTGCTGACCTTATAAGCAAAAGCTGTCGTGTCTGTTTCAAGTGGGCTTCTTCCGGTGCCTTCCGAAGAAACTTAGCATATCCAGTCATTTTTTTATCGCCACATGCGACAAGAACATTGGAACTCTTTTCCATGTTCTTTGAATATTTATTGCGCTAAACACGACATGCAACAAAGTATGTGATGCACGATCTGCAACATTACACGGCATAAAAATGAAGGACTGTACAATACAGTAGCATTTTTGCAAGACAAAGTGGTATGTTGGGAAATATATTTTTGGTTTCCTGTGCATTTTGGCGGTTCATCTCATTTCTGTGAAAATCACCACTGCTGCAGACAAGCTAGTGTACAAATGAGAAATATGCTTGAGATTTTTGTACCTTTACAATCACCCCCACAAAAAATATAAGGCCTTACTTAGAAACCTCAGACATGACACTTAATAAATGCAGCCGAAACACTAGAACCTCTCCAGCTTCTACACACAATCGTTGATTGATATATTTCTGGTTTTCCATACAAATTCACACACCTGAGCCTGGGGTGAAATCTAGCCTATTTTTAATAATCTGATGACAAGCTCTCAATGGTTAACAATTGCCAATAAGACATATCAGTGGCACTTTACTTAAAGCAGTCATGTATCATGTATTAGATACCTTCGTAATGCATTATAATGCATTCATAAAATAAATACGGCTATAACTTTTTATAAATAGGCATTATAGCCATGCACATGTATAATGACTGCTCTAATCTATAATGCACTATTGATAGCTTTATAATAGAGTAAAAAGCATCCTTAATTTTTATAGTGACCATTTTAATGCATTATGAAGGTATTTATAGTTCATTATAGATGAGAGCACATTCATAAGGTGTTATAAACATGGCTATAATGCGTTATGCCTTTTTATCAATAGTTATAGCCATGTTTATAATCCTTTATGAATGCATTATATAGTAAGCCCTTGGACATTCACACGATTACGTTCCAGAACCCATCGCGAATGAGGAGGATTCGCAGATGTTTGGTAGAGTTACTAAAAATGGTAATATATGCTTATTTCTATAGTTTAAACCCTAAATATGCTCCCAAAACACTTTAATTTCATTTAAAATTTAGCTTAATACATTACTTTTAAAAACAAATGTTTGATCTAGAGTACAATATCGCCTAACGGATATTTGTCACACTAGCACATTTACAGTACAGTATACTAATGTTACCCCTAATCATTCATAGAACACGGCATTGGCTGCCGTTTTTCTTTTGCATTTACAGTTAGGTAACATGAGTAAACAAACGGGACTGTAAACTTATTGACAGAAGTCATATACGTAACCAAGGTACAATTTAATAAAATACATAAGGGAACGTACAGTACAGAGTACTGGTATTCAATCAATTAAAAATTACGTAGAGACGTACAGAAATAAGTTGTAAAAATACTATGTGTGCACTAACCACGAAAAAGAGAGAGAGAACAAAATATATACACACATTAAAAATATTTAATAAAAAACTCACCAATGATGAATATTGATTTAAGATAATGATGATTATGAATTAGCGAATGGGATTTGCATCTTGTAAAGGTACAGTACAGTATGTACATAAGAAGGAACGTTTCCATAAGAAAGCCACGTTTTTTTAAGGGATTTTGTAACTGATTTATATTGTATGTCTTGAACTTTCCCCCAAAAACACAGAATCCTCATTAACTAAATTTTTCTTACCAATTTTACACTTAATAGCATGAAAACTTATAAATCACTATGAACGCTTCTGTAGGTTTTTCGAAGATCGCGAAAAGTTCGGTTCCAATGAAATTTTTACAGATCTGTGAATTCGCGAATCACGAAGCGCGAATGCATGAGGGCTTACTGTAATACGTTATGAATGCATTATAATACATTATGAATGCAGAATGATGACTGCTTTAATTGTTATTAAAATATCATAATTTATTTCTTAAAAATGCAAGCCAGATACCATAAAGCTTTAAAAAAAAATCCTGAAAATGTTTACATGAACACAAAGCTAACCCTATCGCCGTGTGGCTAGTTCCTGGCCAATGTTTATCCGCCATAACGAATACGGCCCCCTTCCAGCGTACGTTTCCCCTTGGGCTGGCAGCCATGCTTCCCCTTCTTCCCCTTTTACGATGAGAGGCACTGCATGGGCTCCTGTCTGGCTGGGATTAAGCAGTGACCTCTCACCCCAATGGCACGCTAGATCAAAACATTAATTATCCCTAATTGCGATTCTCTGCGTAAAGGCTCTGTGCAAGCGACAGGTGTGGACCTTCTAATCAGATCGGCACTGGAGACGCCATGGGCAACCGGATCCCACTGCAAGGTCACAGGCGCGGCGGTAAGCGGGCGCAGCAGAGGGTGATGCCCGTCCATATGAGGTTATACCACTCACAGCTTATCCTGAGGAGTGGTACAAACACTGGTACACTGAGGTAATGCTTAGGTAATCGTCTCATCTGGTTATGGGCTCACGACCCACTGACATCGTGGCACCGCTGTAATTAATGTGCTGCCACTGGCTACGTGGATCCCGCCATGACGTCGTCCCTCTGCCAAAGCGATTACCCAGGAGCCTCCCTTCCGTGTTGGTGGTCCACCAGGGGCGGGGTCACAGGGGCACTTGAATGCTGATTGGCTCCCGCAGTGTCCCCTCCACTGTCACTCACCGATTGAAGACATATCAATAAGCTTGGCCCCGTGGTGTGTATTATGGCCCCCCCCTTACGCCCCCCTACCTTAAAATATCTTAGAATTGGCCAATAACTATTCTTCAAATCAATGTCGCTGCTTACAGAACATGCTGCAGATCATCTGAGACCCAGTGAACCTCCACTGTCACAGGCAGTCAAGGACAGACCAGAGGCAATTCTAAAATGTAGCCCTTAGGGGCTCAGTCCCCTGAAGAAATAAGGGATGCCACCCCCCTATAATTAAATATGCCGAGAGGAGGGGGCACATTTAATCACGTAGAAAAATCTTCTGCAGGCGCCACTGTCCACCACTAGTGGGCACTGTGTTCAAAATCGGCAGTGTGAGACCTTACGGAGCCCAGGGGAGCCCAGGGGAGCCCAGGGGAGGTGCCAAACTGGGGGTTTGTTAGCTTTTACGTGGAAAATCAGCCGGATTTCATGCAAGAATAGGATCAAATGTAGTAAACGATGACGATTGAGTCGAGTGTCATTATCTCACTGCAATTACGCTGCCCGCAGAAGATAAGTAGCTCAGGACCCTGCGGTTTTCTTGGGGCCCATGCCCCCCCTTTCGGACGGAGATCGTAGGGCGGGAGGCAGGGAAGGGGCTGGAGCGGGCGGCTCTGCGACCGCAGCATTCCTGCGGAGGAAGATGGGGTGGCTGCGTTGTCACGGAAACGGGCCTGAATGCGTGCCCACCCTGGCACAAGGTGGCACTCAGATGGAAAATACGGGGAATCAACAAAGATGCGGAAACCCTCCTGGGGGGGGGGGGCTGCTCTGAGTGTCACTCGCCCCTCTTTCTCTCCAACCCCAGCATCTCTCACTTCACACCTCCCCGCCCACCTCCTCTGCTTCCTGTCGCCATCTGTGTATAGGTTGGGTCTGCTGCCCTCGAGCACGCGCTCCACCAGCAGGACGGGCGGGCGGCCTCCAGAATCTTCCGTAACCCGTCCCCCGTGGCAACAATTAGCATAATAAATCAGCCTCCCCGGGCAGCGGCGGTTAAAGTGCCAACCCCCCGTTCCCGTCCTGGAGTCGAGGGCGGCACTGCCCGGCCACCGTAATCCACCGATCACTTTACATGTGCCACCGCGGCTGGGGCATGGCGAGTGGCACGGCTATTTACTGCCCTAAGGGCGCATGTTTACCAAATATCAGTCAGCCACACGTTTCAATCTACACATTATTCCGGCGAGTTACCTAAAGACGAGCGCAATCGGGCAGATGGCGAACGCATTCCGGAAAGTCGCCCGCTCAGCTCCGCGTGGCCGAGGAGCAGAGACGTGGGTGGCGAGTGTGAACGAGGCGGA